TTTAGGTCCCTTCCGACCCTAAGTACTATGATACTATGAACTCCACTGAGAAAGTGTTACCGAATTCCAAAGGGGGGAGGAACCCCACAAAAAGCCTGTGCCTTACTCTGTCCCCCACTTGCTCCTTCCCCATACCCTATTCAGACTCCATCCATGACCTCACCTTCACAGATTAACTCTGAATGAAACAGGGCTTCAAAGCCACAGTGATTGAGCCTCCTCGCAGTGCTACAGGAACAGACATAACAGTTTTATGCTAATAGCTAGTGGCAACTCTTTGTCCACTTCCCTTTCAAAAGGGTTAGAAACCATGTCTGCCTTTAGCCTGGGGCAAATTTTCTGAAGACCATATTTAAATCCACACAGGTGTTAAAAACCCCCAAATATAATTCCCCAGCCTTCCCAGGAGGGGCCCCAAACAGCTTTCATCAGTGAAGAGTCCAGAAACTGGCAAGGTGCACTATTTTATGAGAACCATCAGTCAAGCTCTGTGCCAGTGAGGTCCCCTGAATGCACAAGCTGAATGCAAGCGAGAACACGTAAGTCTGCATGCCTGCCAGAGTCAGGTAGGGAAATACAAATGAATATTCAGTTTCCTTTGAGTAGCATAAACATTTATGTCGCACATTAACTTGCTGTATAATCCATGTAATTTTTTCCCCCTTTTACAACATATTACTGCTGTATTTTACATTCTCCTGCATAGTCAAAAGGATTGAATTTCTCAATAGCATTATAATAAACTCGTCATCACTGTAAAGGAAGACAAATTCAGGGCATTAACTATCACTGTGAGAACCCTGTAAATCAAAGAAGATTCAGAGCCAGTAGTTCAGATACAAAAAATGCCAATAGCATGGCCAATGCCAGAGATGGCATGGATGTGTGTATGAGCTTATTTCAATGAACGAAAGCTCTTCTCAGCATGATGCTAAGAGTTCTTTGAAGTGACTAATTTTTCAGTCTTCCTTAAACTATAACCTGTATTTTGCTATTGCTACAATTTTAAGGCTGAATTAAAGGTTTTTGCCTATTGTTCTGTGGTGGGTCCACTGCACACCTCCTGCAGGGCTGTTTGGAGCACAGTGGGGTGTGGAAGGTCAGTGGTGGCTGACCTCCATTTTACTCTCTCCAAGCTCTGGCTCTCCCTCTCGCTCAGTACCTTCCTTTTCAACGAGGGACTGGCCCAAAGTGGAATTCTGCAGCCCAACCATGCTGAACTTTGGCTCTTGATACCAACTTCATGGCTCTTATCCTCAATTAGAGGCCCCAGCCAGACAGCTGAAAGAGTCTGGTTACATCTATATGTTGTTCTGGATCTAAATCTAAGTTGCAAGGCCCAGGCTCACTTCTGCTGGAAGCATTTTGTCTAGATAACTGAAGACACACTTACCGGTTTGCCTCGCACACACCCTGGTAGGCTTCAATTGCATCCTCTTGATCAACATGCTTGTCACTGTTTGGCCAGCTGGGATGCGTGCTGATGCTCGATTCCTGAATTTCACACAGAACAACAACAAATTGAAAACCTCAGTGTCACTGAAGTCTTTCAAATGTTGGATGTGAAGCAATTCTGAGCACGTATGATGGGGCTTCCAGCCTTTTGCGCCTATTGCCTTGTGAGTACAAGTGAGGAGTTTGTGAGGGTTTGTGCAGGTAAGAGCATGTAACAGAAATGTGAACATAAGGAGGTGGATTTCTTTGGGGCTGGAAAGGAGATCCCTTTCTGACCCACAGAGGGTGCTAAAACCATTGAGAAAACCCCCCAAAGCCAATGCCACAAAGGGGTATTTTGGTTTAAAAAAAGACTTCCTTGAAACAACAGCAGAAAGACCCACCTGTAACTTAGGTCAGGGGTCTAGATCTGGCCCATGGAACCATTTTAGCCAGTCTGCTGGCAGTCTGGCAGGCTACTAAAAGCTGCAGGGCATGACCTGCTGCAGAATCCAGGGTCCCTTGATCCTGATGGACATCAGCTGTAAGGCGCTGCCCGATCCCTGACCTG